TTTAAGGCCATTTTCTATTTTTTCTTCTTTAGTGCATCACTGATCATCTTCAATCTGACTTCCGTTGGAATGCCTCGTCACCGTAAAGTATGTCCCTAATGAAAAGGTGCTAGGCTGGAAAATAAGAGGGTGCTTTGAAAAGCTCAGCAACTCTTGACATCAATCTTGTGACACTATGAGTGATATCAGATGTGAAGAGCACTATTTCAGTATGTTCCTGTGCCACAGCGGTATGCTGTAGTGTACAGGTATCCAGTGGTGCAGGTCCCTGTGCCAACCCCAGTGCCAGTCCCAGCTCCTGTTGTCACTCAGCGACCAGCTCCAGCACCTGTGCCACAGGTGAGATTCTCCTTCGCGTACTTCTCTATTTATTCTCCATTTAAGCTGTGTCCACAAATGTGGTCCTTGATGAATATATTAATTTTTGCAAGTAGCGCCCTTGCGTGACGCTAAGGAAACTCCTACACTACTCTCGACTAGAGGGCACTCTTGACTTGGGTGATTCATCCCCCACGTACTTGGTACTTGCAGTTAACGCAGTTCAGTCAATTTTGACTTGTTTTGTTTGAAATGGTGCCCCGGTAGCGTAACTGGTAGCGCACTTGCCCGGAAAGCGAGAGGTGCGGGTTCTAGTCCCGCCTGGGGCGAAAGTTTTGTTCACAACCCAGCATTCTTGTGAAGCAGTTCAGTCAGTTGAACGGCGGGCACCACGAAGAGGATACTGTTGTGGCCACGGGTATACAATTATGCAACAATGGAATGGGATTCTCAGGATATCGCTTTTCCTTTTTTTGAATTCCTCTCCTTTAGCAATCAGAATCCATTACATGATGATCTGTGTATTTCCTCACGACGTTGGGCGAAGGAGATCGTATTGTGAGATTCTGAGTAGAAGGTCGTATTTCTGGATGGCACAGGATGAGAAGTTTTCTGAGAAATTGGTATTATCTCAGTGAGATGTGGAAGCTTTTCCAAATTTTTTTTCACGAATTTGGTCAGCTTTACGGTTTAATTTTTTACTACTCCCAGGTGTTCCCCAAGAGGCCCGTCGCGGCGAAGGAAGAGACGCAGACGCGGCAAAGGACGAGTCGCAGCGCATACTGTAGCGGTTAGGCGTCAGGTTAAATAGAGTGTACCATACTACGTCTCATATCGGACAGCACGCGCTGCAACTCGTCCTTGGGTGCGGGACTTTTGGTGCGTCCGGACTGGCACGCGGCGAATTGCGCGGCGGCATGCGCGGCGATCCGGATGAGACAAGGCTTCTCGTGTTCTGTAGTAGAATTCGAAACGTCAAAGCGCATCAGATTGCGGATAAACCCATCACCCATGCGATTAAGGAACGCTATAAATAGGAGTTTTTACTGCAATGTTTTTCAGTGTCAACTATATATTGCTTTACTGATCGTGGCGCTCGTGTCTCTAATCGTAAGAGGACATTCAAAACAGCCGATGGTGGTGACACTAGGACTAAGCCCAGGAGGGGGAGGAACGCCTGGAAGAACACAATTTGCTCCCAGAATCCCCTTCCCCTGAGGCTCAGTTCCAAGCACAGTAATTGGCTCACTCACTGCCTCTCCCAACGACATGACGCCCTGATCGCTGTCACAGCTTTATGTCAGCTCCTTCTCATCCCTTCTTACCAAAGTTTCCTGATTATCACCGCTGAAACTTCGCACGTTGGAATGCAATTGAGTCGCAGAACCTTGCGAAATTTATCCGTTTCACATTTTGACGTGGTAAATTCCACTGCAGACGCCCGCGAGATTTGCATCCGGATCGCCGCGCAGCCGCCGCGCGATGCCGCGTGCCATCCCGGACGCACCAAAAGTCCGTCGCCCGCTCTTCTCTACCCGATTCTGAGTTCTCCTTCGCCACGCGAGAGGCCTCTTGGGGACTCCGTACTCCCGCCAGTTTACCACACGCACACTTCTGGATTTAATAGAGGAATCAAATCTGTGTGAAGTAGTGAGAGTCTGGCACAACAGGGACGACTATCGCCACTCACCAAAATGTAGGATCGGATATGTGGGTCATTCGCCACATTTTGGTCATGGTGAATCTCGGAAGTTGATGGAATAGAAGCAATCCGCTTGAAAACGCATAAAGTGACCGAAATAAATGGATCACTTTTAAGTTTTCTTTTTACAAATTGTTCTGATAAGCTCTTTTTATCAGATGAGCGTTGAATCGTCTTATCTACTTGTGGAGTTTTCTTTGCATGGGAGCGTACGACCTAATGTGAAGCAGAGAGTGATCGGTATGCGCCGGTGCGGTTCGATGTGCGTTCCTTCTCCTGCCATCTTTGCGCCCATTGCAGCTATTCAAACTGTTTAACTTGCAGAGTAGGGGCCGATTCAAGCGTTCGTAGCGAATCATGGATCAAGCGTTGCGCCAGCGAATCGGACGTTTGACACAGGATCGAACTAGTACAGCGGATCGCACGTGGAATTGGCGGATCAAAGTTTTAAAGGAAGTCGCCACACTTTCAAACCGTTGGCTTTTGAGGTGGACTTGATATGCTTAAGGACGGATTGCTTCGCACAATGCAATAATGCAGTACAAGGACGGTGGAAGCGTAGGGGGAAGGAATGCCTAGTAGAAATAGAAGTAGTTCTTACTCGACGTTTCAGTACATCGTCGGGAGTATAGCCCGAATCCGTATGCAGAAGCCCCAAAAGGTGCTCGGGATCAGGTCGGGCTAGCGTTGTCTTTCGGGAAAAATTACGATCCCCCAAGGTGGATTTGGATACGACCCCCTTTTCGACCCTCGACCACCATCGTTCCTCTCTATAGTATTATTTAATTCTGATACCACTCAACTCACCAAACTCCGCCCACTTTTTCCTCCAAAAATGCCGTCGAACGGGGGGGGAGGTATATACCATCAATTTTATTTAAACGCATTTTTGTTACTATCTCCGGCTTTCCTTTTCTAGGAGGGTATACAGCCCGCTGAACGGCAAATTTTTCCTGCGCCCCTCCACTCGCCCAGCCTACTACCCCGAAATCTTAGTTTCACCTCAATCCCACACGTGATTTCAAGCGACTAAAGTGGGTACGACCCCCCTCCAAGCTAAACCAAGTACGACCCCCCCCCCCGTTGGTACTTGTACAACGTAGGGTTGACCCTGCTCGGCTATAACGACCTGTATAGCGAATGTCGAGGAGTTGTGTCCTGACACCTCGGGGGCTTTTGCACCGACTTCGTTGCATGGATGTCTTGATGACTCTCGGGTCTGTTGCATGCGATTCGGGATATGTGCGAACCTCTTCCGTCTTGTTTCATACAGCCCTAGACTACTCGTAGTGCGGGTGGGTGTGGTTCACTAGGACAGAAAGCGACTTTTTCGCGTTTCGCAGCGCGAAACTTTTCGCTGCGGAACCTCAGGTCCACCTCTGATCATCAGTGGACCCGAGGTTCCCGCAGCGAAAAATGTTTCGCGCTGCGAAACGCGAAAAAGTCGCTTTCTGTCCTAGTGAACCACACCCGTGAGGTGCTAGCGCCATTGTCGCACACTTTCGAGGCCTGACAATGGAACACATGTGACACTCGTGGGTTACCCTATCTCACCCGAAGAACAGTTTCGTCGACGCGACCTCATCTGAGGTTGTTGCTTCAACAAAACAGTAGTCAAACAAAAATAAGTGAATAGATATAGTGCTCTCAATAGAGGCTCAAGTAGGTGACGCACACCAAGCAATTGCCAAATGCTAATTGCTCTTTATATTTAGGTAGTTACTTCGACTGCTTCATCCGTGGAGTACGACAGCGGAGTCGCCTTCATGAACACTTCCGATCCATCTCTTGCTGTTGACGTGAGTACATTTATGATTCCATCCTTTATTAAGCTCACCCCGTTCCACAAAAGCTGTGATTAGGTCTCGCTGAGTTTACCGTCTTCACCGACAAGCTCCACCAACTCAGAAACTTCTCCTTTGCCTACAGTAGAAGATCTTGCGGTGGGTTATTTATCATTAGATTTCCTGCTCCAAGAGATCTACCTCTCCAATGCTTATTTTGGTAGGATACCGATGATCTGAATACTGCATTCGACGGTCGAGATTTTAGTTCTATTATCCTTCATGAAGAGCCTGTTCTAAAACGTTCTAACACATGACTGCTCCCTAAACAGCCAACACTTCATTCCAAAACAGAACAGCATGTTTTTGTGTGGTGCGTTGTGTCTAAAAGCAATACCTCACCCTAATTGATATTCAAGCGCAAGTACTACGGTATTAATTTCAAGTGACTTTATATGGCGAAATTGACAAGCACCTCACAGATGAATGACTTTTCATATGCATGCTGCCATAATGGCTACTAATACTCAATCCCGTGTCGTGCTTTAACATCACTTCGCCTTATATGAACATATCCTCGTTAAGACTTGACCACCTTTGGTGGTATATAAGAGCTTCAACTAGGAACGGTTATTCCTAGTATATCTATCTCATTTAATTGATTTTCCCTAAGTGGATAGTAGCTAATGAACGCATGCTTGGGC